ATCTTGAAACGCGTCAGTCTCCCAGCCGATGGTATCCTATGCCCTATTGGCGGATCAACCGCCTATCCTGCATGCGTCAGCTCCCTTTGCGCTGGCTATAACCAGGAGCAAAAAGTCCTCCATAGGACTTTTGAACGAAATGAGCACCTCTACACCTGCGTTTCTCCATTCCCACACTATCTCGTCTCATCCGCCTAACTCGCAGTTAACTTGCACCTTCGAATCCCTCTTCAGTGGCCGACGAAACTAGCAGTTTTGTGCGAAATAACTAGGAGTTTGCTGATAATTTAAAGACACAACTTCTTTTGTAGGTACTTTTTCACACTGCTCTCCTGTCAACTATATATTACTCCATTATTGACATTCCACCAAGTTCACTTTTCCCCTTCTAAAGCTATGTCAAGACATGCTCGTCCATTCTAAACTCCGAGTTAGATGGGCGTTAACAGCGAGTAAACTCGCAGTCAACTCTCACCCAAGCGTCCCCGTTTCGGCTAGATTACTACCGCCCCTGCTGATCATCTGTCTTTCTGAGGAATCGTTCTGTTACTATATTATAATGTACTAATCTTCGAAGCACGTGATTTAAGCCCCTTACTATTATATGTCAGACGAATCTTGGTTGCATTGCAAAAGAAATAAAAATGCAGTCTCTGTTGTTACCATGAAAATGATCAGCGCAGACGTTGTAAAAAAACATATAAGAAATATCGAATATAACTTGATGCATTTCCCTTGAAAAGTTCAATTTTATCCTAGCTCTCGATCTTTGATTGAAATGCGTTCTCGGGTGATTCCATAAAGCTAACTGTGCTTAAGTGCCTAAGCCATCTTCTGCAAAATCAGAGCTCATTCGTTAATCCAAATTCATCCTTATCCACAGTAAACGCGCTGTACTCTTCAAAGACTAGGGACCTACTGACTTATTTATGGCCTTCCCGCAATAAAATTTGTGTGGTAGATATCAGCATTACAACTAGCCCTTCTCACGCACGGCGAAGTACTTGGTACATTCGATAAGTTTTCCTTTTCACATTACTGCCGCTGATTAAGTTTACACAGTTACTCATTTTGTAGAGATAATACAAGATGGATGGACATGGGTTACCTATTTTTCTACTGATGTTTAGCCAAAGGAGGGTGTATTTATTAGGAATGTAAGATGGCAAAAATGCCAAGGAAAAATAGAAGCACAGTGTTAACTAGTCCCTGGTTTTCACATTATAGTTTTGATGTTTAGAAATGAGCAGAAAATTAAAGCACCAATCTTCACAGTACGAAATTTGTATTTGGATTTAATTGAATTCAAACTTAAACGGCCATTGAATATTTGACACTTCATTCAGTTCTCAGCACATTGTTTAGTTGGTGATCTCTTCATCGTAAGCTGAGAACCACCAGAAGCGACTATCCCTTCGAGTCTGGCCATAGGTAAACCCGTTGATATCATCTTTCAGCATGAAAGATGATATCAACGGGTTTACAACACCATAATGAACTATGCAACAACTTCTATTATTTCAAGAACTTCTCGTAGCAACATTGTCGAGTGGAATGTCATTATGTTGATCATATTCATCCAATGGTCCTATAGGATTTATAGCACATAGTGGACCAAGGATTTTCTCGCTGCTGGTAATGTTCGGTTGCAAGAATCCTATTCACTTGTGATCGATCTTCGAAATTGTACAGAGGCGAACTTCTGTGGCACGCCAGAACATTTTTCGAAGTTTCATAGTCCCATCAGAGCGCTTCCCATGCCAACCATAATTTTAGGCTTTCGGGGCTCTTCCAGCATTTAAGTATATACCATAGGTCCTTCAAATGCCCCTTATTCTTCCATCTGCTTCCTTAAGTGC